CGGCCCCAATCATCCTCACCCCCCATGAGGCCTCGGATCGATTTCCCCTCATCTGGCCGGACTGCCGGTCCCTCACACGAGCATCTTCCCCCCTCCGCTGGGCGGCCTTGTTGGTGGTACGCCGGACCCCCCGACTTCCCATACGGGGGGAGGCGCGGGGGCGGGGAGACAGGCGGCACACAAAATAGCTTGTGGCAGCAAAGAGCTATTTATTTTGAGCCTGATTTTGGGCTAGACTATTAAGTAGTCTAGAAATTATTTTAGAAGATTTATACCTGATTGCTGAAAATAGTTCAGTACATCAGACTCAGAAATCACTAGTCCATAGATGCATCTCATTAAAACCTTCAGCAAAATTGCAAATTATTTAAATTTGGTAGATATTTTTAAAAATAGCCGAAACCGGTTTGGCTCGGTGGATAGAGCGTTGGCTTGCGGACTGAAGGGTCCCAGGTTCGATTCCGGTCAAGGGCATGTACTTGGGTTGTGGGCACATCCCCAGTAGGAGATGTGCAGGAGGCAGCTTATCAATGTTTCTCTCTCATCGATGTTTCTAACTCTCTATCTCTCTCCCTTCCTCTCTGTTAAAAAAATCAATAAAATATATTTAAAAAAATATATATAAATAAAAATAAAAATAAAAATAATAGGTAATAGACATTATAATTTAGTATATTTTAAAACTTATTTTTGCCTTTAAAAATGTTTAAGAATTGACATTTTAATAAAAAATAAAGTAGAAACACAGGATGATAAATAAGACAGAAAAAAACATTTTATAATTTGTCGAAAAAAGGTAATGTTATTAACAAGCAGGTAAGCATAAATAGATTGTACTTATATAAGAATTGTGACAATTTAATTCTGCTACTTCTAGGATATGAGATATCTGGCCCAATTGCATTAACTACGTTGATTTAGAATTGTCAATAGAATCCAGGAAATTAACCTGGATAATGCAGATTTTATAAACAAACAGATTCTGACATATTTAGACAAGAAATAAAAATCTGTAATATATTCTCTCCATTCCAGGTTTTATTATTTTAGTTATGGATATGACACTTACCACCCTCACCTGGTTTGAGATCCAGGGCAGGCAAAGATTCTGAATGCAGAAAATATAAGGTTGGACTAACAGTAAATAATACGTAATTGTCGTGGCGCTCGTCTAGGATAATGAGTACCAAATCTCCCACCTGAAAACTAAATAAAGGAATGTCATTATCGACCTGAAAAGTTACTATCACCCTATCCTGAAAACTTTAAGTATATATTCTGCAATGTTTAACTATAATTAAAGTATCACAAAGGCAATATAATTTTCACATT